AAAAAAAAAGAGAAAAAAAAGAGAGAAAAAAGGAATATAACATTATTTTTTTTGTTGTATTTGCTTCATAAAATCACGATTTGCTCCATTTCATTTTCACCAGTTCAAAAGAGGAGTTATTAGTTTTGAAAATAAAAAAAATTCGTCGGATTACAGAAAAGAGGACAACAGGAAGGACAAATGAATGATGGAATTGACGGAATGTTGATTGGGGAGAATAGGGGACAGGGAGGGAGTAGAAGGATAGGATTCTGCATATATTTATTGTTTCTTAGGTGCAACAATCTGTTCAGAAAATTATAGGCTAAAAACTGAAGTTAAAGCTAACTATTTTTTCTGCCTTTTAAGTTTTTTGTCGATTGCTAACGCTCAATAACAGATAATCCGCGGTTTAAAGTTGACAAAAAACTTATGGGAGTTTATCAAAACTAACAGAAAAATACGTTTATATTAATTGTTCAACGACAAAATTGCTGAAGAAAAAAGAAACTTAAAAAAGCCGTTTTTGTAATCAAAAACCTAATTACTTTGATAGATGCTGTTTTACTTAAGAATTCTGTAATTTGTCAGAAAAATTGAAATAAAAAAAATAGTTTGCGGTAACCACAAAATAAAATCTTTTACAATCAAATAAATGAATAAAAAGTGGTCACAGCAGTTTGTTGAAGTGTTCATCCTCACTGTTATAGCGATGACAAAAAAGCTAAATATGAGGTTAAGATTAGTCTATTTGCTTCAAAGTATAACCACCAAATTCTAGCAGAACTGTGACTGTTTGAACAATAATGCTGCAATACGAATATGAAACACATAGGTGGAACGTAAAAATTACTTCAGAATTCTGGAACCTAAAGAAATTGTTTCATGCAAATTTTACAAGCCAAAACATGAGGATTCAGTTCTTTTATATTACCTCTCCTTCTACTCCGCTTCTCCAGCTTCTCCAACTTCTCCTCTACTGTTCCCTCTTCAATTTTGAAAATTTACAAAACTGGGTACTAGTCGACATAAAAATTAAATGTTTTTTTTTCCAGAGATTTGCTGTTGAGCAACAGATGTCAAAAATTAATCATTATTTTGTATTATTTCTCATACAAAAAGCTTCTGAAAGTTGGCAAAAATAACGTTAAAATTGAGCTCAATAAATGCCCAAAAAATGCTGAGCAATAAATTGGTTTTCTTTTTTTTTCTTTTTTACCAAATGAAAATCTAAAACAATACTGCTAGTAAAACAGCAAAAAAAAAAAGGTGCTTTTTTTTTTGTTGACAACATAATTAGAGAATAAAGAATAATTTAAAATCTTAATAGTATTTTTTGTTGTTGTTGTTGTTGTGGTAGTCGTTGTTCGGACTAATAAAATCAATCAGAAAAAAAAAAGAGTAGAAGAATTAGATAATGAATATCTGAAAAAAAAAACCTTTTTCTTTCTCTTTTTTTTTTTGCTTTTTATTAATTTTTTTCTTTTTTTTGCAAAGTAATTTTTTCTTCTTTTGCTTTGGGTTAAAGATTTGACACAATTTTATTGACCATTCAACTTAATAATCATTTTAAAAGATGAAAAAATGTTTTCTTTTTTTTTTTTTTTCTTCAAATAGATGACAATTTAACAACGTAACCACTATACGTATTGTAAATAAAAAATACGTATTATTTATTTGTTTGGAAAAAAAATAATAATAATAATTGCTTTGTCGTCTGAAACTGTGGTTTTCGACCGTCGTCGTCATCATGATGACAATCAACGGAGTTGAAATGAACGAAGAATGAAATTTTTGGTTGTTGGGAAAGAGGAGGCAGAGGACGGATGGGGGAGGATTGGCCAGCCACCAGAACGGGCAACGTAATAGGTGACGGGGGACGGCTGGGCAACGACGACAGCGGTCAATGTGTTGAGGCAATCCCCGTTGGTTGATTTTGGGTGTCCATAGATATTGTCCGTTCAGTTTTGGGTGTTACCGGTGACGAGGGAGGGTTAAGACAAAACTGTAACAGATAAGGTTTTTTTTTGATGGATATACCTTTGGTTGGGGGATAATAACAACGGATCAGCGGAGCAAATAACCGGAACAAAACAGAAGGAGAAAGAGAGAGGAGAGAGAGAGAGCAAAGCGGTTTTTATTTTGTTGTTGTTGTTGGCAGTATTTCTTTAAAATTATGTATTTTTGAATCAAAATT